AACAAAATATTTGTCATGGAACAATTAGGCTTGATCAGACAACTCAATATTAATATGAGCTTCTATCTTAGGCTTAGAGCCATACGTATTTTCAAGAGATCTTTCCATGCATCGTAGCAAAGCGATTGGAAAATTCTTTTCCACGATATGGATGTAAATATATTGCATTGAATTTTTATTTTGATAATTGTTTAATTTTTTTTATTATCTCAATAACAATGTTTATTTGTTTTGTAGGGATCACGAATAACTGGTATAGTTCGTGGTGTGTCCATATTTGTTGGGTTGCTTGAGGAGGGTGGGGTCTACATATTTAGCAACTACCAACTAGAGCTCAACGTTGGTAAATTTCGATCTACTAATGTAGACTACAAAGTTATAATTAATGGGGATATTGAGATCCTTCACGTGCTATCTAATTTCCCTAAATGGGAATTCGACTTCCTTAGTTTTGCATTTCTTCAAAATGATGACATTGTGGACGAGTCAATCCTTTATGGTAAATTTTTGGTTTATTATTTAGGGTGGATTCGAATTTTTTTCAATTTCAATTTTTTATTGTTGATATATTAATTAATAAAATAGTATTTAACTTTTCTACTTATATCTATTGTAGATTGGATAAATGGAGAATAAAAGCAAGGGATCGCTTTTTCAATGATGGATTTGGAGTAAGTAATATATATAGTACATGAATTATATATTTGTAAAATGTGTGTAAAATTTATAATTAATTTCTTTTTTTAACTAAATAGTGAATTAGTGATGCGTTGCGAACTTTGGGATAAATTTGTTCACGACTTTATTTTTTGTGAATATCACTTTCAATATGCGGACAACGGAGAACCATGGGTTGTCATCATGTATTTATGTAGGATAAGACAAAAGATTGTAGGTATTTTGAATTTGTGATTTATTTATATTATAATACAAAAGAAATAATGATATTCTATATAGTTTAAATTACAATTTAATATATATTGTTTTGCAACAGGTGAGTATCAATTGAGTTCATATCTGAATGTCACAAGCCTTTTTGCTTCTAATATTTCGGAAATTATAGATTTTCGCAAAAAGTAAGTGTTCGCGAACTATTGACACTTTATTTTATTTTTGGACGTTTTGTATAGATATTGTATATATTTTTGGTGTGTATATTTTCAATTTATCAAATTGATATTTAATTAATTTACTTAATTTTTCGGATATGTTATAAAATTGTGTACGCAGATTTTTAAGTAGCAAATGGTACAAACCGAATATGTATGTCACCAACAGCAAGGTTGTGATGGAGAGCTGAATAGAAATGCATGGCAATGGTGATATGAAGAGTGATGACGAGGATGTTGGGAAGAATTAATTAGTTCAATTTTTATCGAGTTAATTGTTGCGATTTCAATTTTTTGAATTTATTAGTATTGGTGTTCAATCTCTATGACATTTGATTTTATTTCGGTCGATTAATACCCACTCTATCTTATTATTGTTTTCTGTTACTTTTAAATTTAATTTAATATAAATTTCTTCATATTCATTTTTCGTGGAATTTACTTTTAAATTTAATGATGCAACGATTTTAAAAAATTATTATAATATTAGATAATGATATAAAATGTAATTTAAATATTAGATAAGTATACAAATACGGCCGAAATATTTATGTAGCTCACGGCTCCTATTGAATGTTTTCAATTCATGCGTGCCTACTATTATGGGTTATGAGATAAGTACTATTAAATTTTGACAACATTTCTAATTAACTAATTGATAAGTACTCTTAATTTAAAACATATCTTGAACTTTTTGAAATTATGAATTAAATATGAGATAAGTACAAATACAGCCGAAATTTTTTTGTAGCTCACGACTCTTATTGAATGTTTTCAATTCATGCCTGCCTACTATTATGGGTTATGAGATAAGTACTAATAATTTTTGACAACATCTCTAATTAACTAATTGTTAACTACTCTTAATTTAAAACATATCTTGAACTATTTGAAATTATGAATTAAATATGAGATAAGTACAAATACGGTCGAAAACTTGTTCTTGAATGTAGGATACTCATTGGGGATCATGAAGGCGATAAGGTGTTGATTCCTAGAATGGCTATAACTCCTTCCGATGTCAGAATTCCTTTCAAATTCCAGAGGCGACAATTTTCCATTATGGTATCGTATGCCATGACTATCAACAAGAGCCAGAGACAATCGCTAGTGCATGTTGGTTTATTGCTTAAGAAGCTGGTGTTCAGTCATGGGCAATTATATGTGGTCGCCGCCCGTGTCACCAATCGAATTGGATTGAAGATATTGGACTGTAATGACGATGACTTGCCTCCAAATCAGATCCAAAACGTTGTGTACAAAGAAGTGTTTACTAATTTATTAAATTTTAAGTTTGTTTTCATCATATGCTTGTTACATATCTACAAAGTCCATTAAATTTAATGTTTATATTAAAAAAAATCATATAAATATACCATTTCGTGCATCGCACGGGTCAGTACTAGTTTACAGAGCATTCCATTAGCTGAATGAAGTGGAACAAAATTAAGGTACAAGATTTTTAAATAACTATATTTTGCAACAATATAATTGACGGGGTTTCGGGTGTGATTGTTTATGGATTAAACTAGATTTTATTTAGTTTGTTTTTTAACTATAGTTAATTAAGAAAAATGGTACGGTTAGTTGTTAGTAGATGTATTAAAATAATATTTAAATAAAATAATTAAAGTTGATTTGATGTAAAATAGGAGAAAAATGATTGAAAGTGATGGTTAGTTAAAATTATGTGAGTGGATGAATAGTGAATTAAAGTTGATGTGATGTGTAAAAATGATTGGTTGATATTATTTAATTATATTGATAATATGAGAGATAGTGTGGTTGGGTTAAAGTCGAGTTAAATTTGAGTTTTGATTGATTTTTTTACTGTTGAAACCAATGTTTTAAATACCGTACCGTACCGGTCGGTATTACCGGTAATGCCGGATACCGGTGGTCCGACCTGTACGGTTACACTCTAAATACCGTTTTGACAAAATACCGATTTATACCGGTTTCATACCGGAACATACCGATTATATCGGCCAAAATACCGGTCAAAATACCGGTTTATGCCAATTTTTTTGAAAAAACTATTTTAATATATTTTTATTATTATTTATTAATATAAATTGAAAGTTTTACACTTCATTTTAATATGTTTACATTGTTATTAAATATTAATTAATTTTAGTATTAATTAAAGTTAGTTTTGTACATTATTTATATTGTAATAACAAATTAATTTAATATTTATTAATACTGGTACAATAGACGGTAAAACCGGTCGAACCAGTTGAACCGCGTACAGTTGATTCGTCTGGTATAATGACCGGTACGATATTTAAAACACTGGTTGAAACTATAAGAAATTGCCCCCTTGGTGTTCTTCTAATTGAAACTAGTACCAAGAGACGTGAAAGGTCAGACTAGTGATATGTCCACCCACTATTAGGCCTGTAAATGAATCTAGCCGAATTCAGCTCGTTAAATAAACGAGCATCAAATCAAGTTCGAGCTTCGCTCGACTCGTTTATCATTAACAAAAAAAGGCAAGTTCGAGTGTTATCGAGATGAGCCGAGCTTAGCTCGTTATCCAAACGAATTTTAAATAAGCTCGAGCTGGACTCGTTTATCAAACTAACCAAGGTGAACTCGAGTTGAATCTAACCATGCTCGTTTCAAACAAGTCCAACTATATCTCGACCCGAGTCCAACCATGCCCTCGTTTAATAAAGTTTAATTTATTAACATTCCTTTGTGTTGTAATTGATTAATTTATACTCCAGTACTTATGTTTTAGAAGCATCAAATTCTAGAAGCATCAATGCCTGCTGACGAACGAAACGCATGTGAGGCGGCATATGGCGTCGAGCTCTTTGTGCCAGATTTGTTCCTTGGCGGCTGAGTCCACTATCCATGTTTTGCGTGACTGTGCTCCGGCGACGGAAACCTGGCAGAATCTTGTCCCGCGGACGCGTTGGAGGGAGTTTTCTCTTTGAATTTCCGGGCGTGGCTGTTGAAGAATTTAGCCGGTAGTTTTCTGCCGAAAAGTGATGATTGGCCGACACTTTTTGGCCTGACTGTTTGGAGCTTGTGGAAATGGAGAAATCTGGTATTGTTTGAAGGTCGTGAGACAACGGTGAATCACCGGGTTCGCGAGGTTATGTCTTTCTCGAGCCGGGTGCGTGATGCTTTAGTTGATAGCCGTCGGGTGGGAGCGTGTATTCGACGCGAAACGAGATGGCTTTCTTGGTCGGCCCCACCGGAGGGGGTGTTGAAGGTTAATACGGATGGAAGTTTTGTCCCGACGACGGGGATGGCGAGTGCTGGAGGGGTTGTTCGAGACCACTGTGGGACGTGGATTGGTGGCTTTACAATGAATATTGGCTATTGTTCTATTGTGGAAGCCGAACTTTGGGGCCTGTTCCAAGGCTTGCAGTTGGTGGGATATCGGTGCCCGTAAACTTGTGGCGGAAGTGGATAATCAAAGTATAATTGCCTTGGTTCATAGTGAGGCTCCTACCGGGCCACATGGGAGTCTTATCCGGGGTATTAATGAATTGATGGGGCGCCCTTGGGATCTTCAACTTGTTCATGGTCATCGTGAGACAAACGTTGCGGCGGATTTCTTGGCTTCTCTTGCAGCTAAAGGAGCGGGTGGATTGCACCGGTTTGATCATCCTCCGTTGGGAGCCGGACCTTGGTTACAACATGATCTTCTTGGTGTGGCTCAACCACGTCGAGTCATGATCGAGCACTAGCGTTTTTCCCTCTCATGGTGCGCTTCATGTTAGTGGGACCACACCGTTTTTCCCCCAGTTTCTTACATGGTATCAGAGCCGGTTCTATTGGGACTGTGCGATGACGTACCCGTTTATGGGAGTCCGCTTCCCCACGTACCCGTTTATGGGAGTCTACCTCTAGTAGGCTTGGGGCACCCAGTTGGGCTTGGGCTTCTCGCATCCGTTTATGGGAGTCTGCTTCCCCACGTACCCGTTTATGGGAGTCTACTTCTAGTAGGCTTGGGGCACCCAGTTGGGCTTGGGCTTCCGAAGGACTCACAAGTGAGGGGGCGTGTTAGAATATCACTTGTGAGTTGTCCCACATCGTTCATACATAGAAAATAGACTCACCTTATAAGTCTAATGGGCTACTCCTCCTTCTACCAATTGGTTTTGGGATGGAACCCCACTTGGGCTTCATATGGACTTTTTTCTTTCATGGTGCGCTTCATGTTAGTGGGACCACACCGTTTTTCCCTCAGTTTCTTACAAGCTTTGCTTTCCATATTCTGTACCAAAAAAAAAAAATTCTAGAAAGCTAAAAATACAAGAGAGAAACTATTGGCTTCTAAAACCCGTTCAACCAAACATATCCTTACACGACAGTCATATCCTATACTATACGCTCGAAGCACAGTCCTAGAGGCGCAAGCAAAAAGCTACTGTCTTTCTTTTCCCAATTGAAAGCACAAAGACGGCGCCAATCTCGCCGTCGTCATTCCATAAGGTATATATATACGCACGCCATTTTCAACGGTACGTACGAGCTCCTTTTCCCTATTATTACAGGTATTATTCTGCTATCAAATTATGTATCTCTATATCCCCCAAAAAAGCCAAAATTATATGGAGCAAAAGGCGAATATTTCGTTTGATTACTAACTTTTTCTCCGGGAGGTAAGGGCCCGCTTTAGGATCTGAGCCATAGACCAATGATTGCGGAATCTGTATCCTTTGGCTTCTTCTAGGTTTCTCATTTGATTTTTTTTTTTTTTGAGTGAATAGAGAAAATGAAGCCCAAGATTGACGGCGGCCTCCGGTGGGCGAGGCTGTTGAAGTATGTTTTTGTCGGCTTGTTATTGTTGCTGGGATTCGTTTGCCTGTATAACGGGGCGTTGTTTTCCGGTCGATTGCCGCGGGGTGATGATTTATTCGAAGACGGAGTTGACCCGGTCCGTGGAAGGTTTTTGCTGAAGAAGGATTCCGGCGAAATCCTTCACCACGACGGCAACAAGCCCATTCCTCGAGTCCCTAGAACCATTCCAGTTAGTAAAGATTGCTTTTTTTTTTTCTTTTTCTTTTTCCTAAATTAAAAATTCTGGAGAGTAGATTGAATGAGTTCACATTTTCTTCTATATTTCTTCCCCTGTTGTGTAGGTTTGTGATTTGAGTTACTCGGAGTTGATTCCATGTTTGGATAGGAATTTGATATACCAAATGAAACTGAAGGTTAATTTGAGCTTAATGGAGCATTACGAAAGGCATTGCCCGCCCCCCGAGCGTCGTTATAATTGCCTCATCCCTCCTCCTATTGGCTACAAGGTTTGTTTGTTTCTTTGTTTGTTTATATGAGCTTTGTCTTTTCACCAAGGTGCAGTTCTGAGTAATTCCGGAAGGTTTCGGGCTCTAATTTCTTCGTTGCTGGCCTTTTAGTTTTGATTGAACGTGATATCTGTTGCATACTTATTTTCATTTACTTCACTTTCTCTAGTCTTGATTCAGATCCCAATTAGATGGCCCACGAGCAGGGACCAAGTCTGGAAGGCCAACATACCCCACACCCATCTCGCGCAAGAAAAATCGGACCAGAATTGGATGTTTGTTGATGGTGAAAGGATAAAGTTCCCAGGTGGCGGGACCCATTTTCACGATGGAGCCGATAAATACATTGCTGCCATAGCAGGGGTGAGCTCCTCGCGAATCTAAATCCTTCCTGTCCAATCCGTTTGTAACTTTCTCGTTTTTTTTTTTGCCGTGTTTCTTCAGATGCTAAAGTTTCCGGGCGAAAGACTCAACAACAACGGTCGCATCCGGAATGTTCTTGACGTGGGCTGTGGGGTCGCTAGCTTCGGGGCTTACTTACTCCCACTCGACATTATTGCTATGTCACTCGCGCCAAACGATGTTCATGAAAACCAAATACAATTTGCTCTCGAGAGAGGGATTCCAGCCACTTTAGGCGTATTGGGCACCAAGAGACTGCCTTATCCAAGCCGATCCTTCGAGCTCGCTCATTGTTCACGATGCAGGATTGACTGGCTTCAGAGGGATGGGATTCTTCTTTTGGAGCTCGACCGGCTTTTAAGGCCAGGCGGATATTTTGTTTACTCTTCACCAGAAGCTTATGCGCATGACCCCGAGAATCAGAGGATATGGAGCTCGATGAATGACCTTCTCAAGAGAATGTGCTGGAGGGTTGTAGCGAGGCGGGACCAAACTGTTGTGTGGGCCAAGCCGTTGAGCAATAGTTGTTATAGGAGAAGAAGTGTTGGGGCCCTGCCGGTTTTGTGCGGTTCGGATGATGATCCAGATGTAACGTGGAATGTGCTCATGAAGGTTTGCATCACACCGTACTCAAAGAGTATGTGTTTAAGCTCCCGGTGATCCACTCTATTCTATGGCAACCTCCACCTCCTGGATTTTTCTTTTTCTTTTTCGTTAATGTTTAATTAATATCTGCCGTGAATATGGTGCTAATTCGTGTGGATAATTGTGCTTTTTGTCGTTTTTGCTGAAGAAAGTTGTCGTCTGATGCAATATATGAAAGTCTCCCTCATGCAAAGGGTTTTAGATTTTAGTATCTAGAAAATTCACTCACCTGGCTATGGCTATGAAATTTGTTATTGAAGCTCCGCACGAAGGAGATTTTCATGTCCCTTTTCCTTTTGATATTTTTTTTTAAATTTTTTGATTGTTGGTTTGTGGGGGATAACAGAAATGCATCAGGAAAAGGGAAGTGGACTAGAACCATGGCCAAGGAGGCTTATGGCTGTTTCTCCACGTTTGGAAGAAATCGGTATAAGTGCTGATGAATTTCATAACGATACTGTAAGGCTCATTTCACTAATTTTCCTCGTTAAAATTTGTTTTGTTTCATTTTTTTTGTTTTTGTTTTTTAATCTAAGTTTGTTTGTACGTGTATCAATTCAGGATGCATGGCGTACCAGAGTGGCTGGGTATTGGAAACAGATGAAATCCGTTATACAGAGTAACTCTTTCAGAAATATCATGGACATGAACTCGAACCTCGGAGGATTTGCTGCTGCTCTGAAAGACTCGGATGTTTGGGTGATGAATGTTGCTCCGGTTAATTCATCTGCAAAATTGAAAATCGTATATGACCGTGGATTGATTGGAACGGTTCATGATTGGTATATATACTACTTAGGCTATGTTTGGTAACTAAATAAGTTAGCTTATAAACTTCCTGTATTCAAATAAGCTTTGTTTGGTAGGACGAGCTCTTTTAAAAAGCTCGAGTTTATCTCATAAGCTTCTTTGGGTAGCTTTTCATATAAGCTCGTTGAAATTTTTATTTCAACTAGTTTATCAACTAATTTTATCAAACACTTTTATCGTATAAATTAGTTTTTCAACTATGAGTCATAAGTTGTAAGTTTATAAGTTTGAAAATCACTTATTAGCTATTAGCTAGCTTATCATCTAGTTTTACCAAATATAGCGTTATTTAATGATTTCTCTTTTATTATTAAAGTTAGATTCACGTTCGCTTTGTTCAACTCCCGATATATTATATATATATATATATGTATATATATATTTATATATATTTAACCGAGTCTCATAATCATATTATTTGCAGGTGTGAATCATTTTCGACTTACCCACGAACCTATGATTTGCTCCATGCATGGTCAGTCTTTTCACAGATTGAGGCACGAAGCTGCAGCACAGAGGATCTATTAATCGAGATGGACCGGATGCTAAGGCCCGAAGGATTTGTGATCATAAGAGATAAACCTTACGTAATAAATCATATACGTAAATTCTTGGGCTCTTTAAGGTGGGACAAATGGTCTTTGGAGGTAAAACCCAGAGCCGATGCTCTTACCACAAGTGAAGAAAGAGTTCTGATCGTAAGAAAAAAATTATTGGACGAGATTTCACAGCTGTAAGGCGATTTTGCCCCTTCGGTTCGTGATGGAACATCGTTTGATTATGGGGAACCAAGTTCTTGTATGTTTTTAGCTTGCAAAAGTGCATGCTTTAATGATTTTGTTGTGCCATAATGTTGTACTTAGAGAAGATGAGAAATGCAGTTTTAGTTTTATAAATATATGTTTGCGTAGATGTAGATTATCTTGCATATTTTCTGCCATCATTATATCAAGCTTTGGTTTTCAAACTCGCTTTTTCTTGTTTTGTAATTTTCCTTGACTTTATCTTTGCTTTTATAAAGGAGTTGAGTCTTAATTAATGATGGAAATTATTACTCTGAAGGTGATGTGAATGTGACGGCAGTCAAATGTATTATTAAGACCCGAACGGTTGCAGTAGTCCTGCTTGAAGCCCATACGAAACGAGCTTTTCAGGAATATTTATGGGCTTTGGCCCGAATGGTTTCACCAGGCCTACTTGAAGCCAAGCCCATACCCAGCCCATCAAACGAAGACTTTTTCACGAAGCTAGCACGTGTGTATGAATGCGAAATTCCCGCTAAACCTGCTTTCAATCGCAGCACATATCACACATATCACAACAGCAACAAAAAAAATTCTCCAGTCAGTTCACTTTTTTTTTTTTTTTTTT